AGCACACAGCCCACACACAAAACACACACACACACCCGACGGGGTTAACCACCAGCCGTCCGATTTTTCGGTGACGTCATGTCTGACCAACGTCATAAGAGTCGATGCTCCACCGCCAGGCCGCCGCGCTGCTTACGCGATGCAGGTCCGATCTGCTGCCGCCATCAACCTCAGCCACGAATATCGGACTTCCGTCCTTTCGCAGCAGCTCCACCTCCGCCAGGTGAGTCGAAGATAAGGTGGGTGGACGACTTGGGCTAAGAAGCGGACTGGCGGTGGAAGGTGGAGTTTTGTTGAAGGTCGGCGGTTTTTGCTGTGAACTCTCGCCGTGAGTTTTGGACAGGCTGTCGACGGTGGCAACGTGATGGTCGAAGGTTTATGTAGTGGTGTGAGTAGCCGGCGGACGGTGGCTGAGTGTGATGGCTGCGGTGGTGTGAGTCGCCGCCGTTGGTGTGTGTGCGTGTGTAAGGGAGAGAGAGAGAGAGAGAGATAGATAGATATAGACGATAATACAGAGAGAGGGGAGAGATAAATCTGATTTGTATTTTTGTGTGGGTCCCACTTATTTTGTGTGTTTGGTGAATTACATTAATGTCCCTTGGTGTATTTATTTGGTCTTGGATATTCATTTATTTACGATTTGCCATTAATGAATTGACCATTGTTATTTAATTTTGACTTCATCTTGTCCCTTGATATAATTGATCAAATGGCCTTAAATCATTCTTATTTCTTTCACTATCTATCATTTTCATATGATCCGTTCTCTCTCTCTCTATCTCTCTCTCTCTCTCTCTCTATATATATATATATATACATATATATAATCGCTAGCCATCTTCATTAAATTTTATTCAGCCATCAATTAATAAAAATAAGACTTCATTTAATAAAAATCTTTATGACCAGTGTTTGTCTCATTTTTGTTGCGTTTTTTATTGTTATTTTGCTTTATTTTTCCCCTATTTTAAGTGTTTCTTTGGTTTTTTGTCGTTGTTTTAGTTTATTGTGTGTTTTCTTTAATTTTCTGTATTTTCGTGTTCTTTCGTTTGTTTTACAATTTTCTCCGTTTTTCGTTTTATTTTTGGTGTGCAGATCGGGAGCTTCGGGTGGATAGGAATTCCAGATTTAATTGACCGTGCAAACATAATTAATTAGAACTGTTCGTTGGCGAGAAGTGTTTAGTAGAGATTTGTGGGTATGTGGTAACCGAGTTACCCGACTCGGGTCGTTCTCTAAGGAAGGCTATTCGGAGCTTTGGTTGCTATTCAATTGTCCAAAAACACAAAACGAGAGAAATAAATCCTAAACATTCTATTCATTGGTTGAAGATTGATTAAGCACTAGATTGCCTAAGGAAATAAGCAACTAGCGATTAACTAAGTAATTATACTAGAAACCCTAACTTACTAAACCGGAGAACCGAAAATCAACAAAAACGAGCTAAAACAAGAGGAACGAACTCCATCTACTAAACTTAATAGTTAAAGCCGAAGATTCTACGACGAAATAACCTAGCTCAATATCATAGTCACGATGTTTCAAGTAGAAATTCACACTTCAACAAACTCAAGCACAATAGACAAGCTCAAAAACCACAAAAACACGAAAAATGACTAAACGAGCAAACATATCCGATAATCGAGCAAGTCCTAATCACTTCTACTAACTAGATAGCTAATTAGTTGCACAATACGAAAATATAAGTCTTAAAAGTAAGTACTCACACTCCTAGTGCAAGCTTAGTCGAAATCGGGGTAAAAAGGTATAAACTTGCATAAAAACGAGAGTTGCCGGAAAAAGTTGCCGGAAATAGTTCGCCGGAAAATACTAAGCTAGAGAGAATCTAGAGGAAAAACTAAAAACCCAAGACATTACCAAAAAGAGTAAAGTAGCAAATGAAAATCTAGATGTCCAATTACAAAGGGCCAAAACATATATATAGTCTAGCTCCAAAAACACATAGTAGAAACACGCAGATTAAATGACACACTCTCGAGCTCGCAGCGAATTCCGCGGGTCGCGGGCGTGAGATGGCAGGGGAAAGCTCGAGGGACGCACGGGATCGGCGCGAGAGAAAACGGCACTCTCGATGTCGCGGCCGAACTCGCGCGCGCGGGCATCCATGGGGTACTACTCTCGACCTCGCGGAGTCTTTCGCGGGCGCGGACACGGGAAAAACGCGGAAGTGCACAAGAGGGAAGGCGATACTCTCGATGTCGCGGCTAGCTTCGCGAGGCGCGGGCGAGGACTCTCGACTTGGCAGCAGATTTCGCGAGCGCGGACGCGGGTGGAGGCACGAGGTGGCGCGGAGAAGGGCAACACTCTCGACGTCGCGGCATGATTCGCGAGGCGCGGGGCGCGGGGCGCGAGGCGCGCCACCCTTTGGGACTTTTGATCGCATGGACTAGCTAAATGATTCGGAAATTCTCGACATTGACTCGGAATACTTGGAAATCCCATCTCTCGAAACTCTTCTCGACATCCTCGAGAATAAACCTGAAAGTACACCACAAAATACAGAAAAAAAATACGCCAAAATATAAAAAATAAAGAAAGTCACACAAAACACACGGAAAATGATAAAATGGACCGGTCAACGCTAAAACAATCCTAAAACCGACTCAACTACGCACAAGAAACACATAAAAAGAAACACAAAAACACAATAAACAAGAAGTAGGAAAAAATGCAACTCCATTCCGAGTTCGGACGATCTCAAACGAGCTCGAGAAGCAAAGTCGTGCAAACCTACCATCAGCTCCCAGGCGCCGGCTAGCGCCGCTTACAGCACGCCTAGCTCCGCTAGCCAACTTAGCGCGCGACAGAGAGTACAGGACAGGCGCCTTAGCGCCGCTAGCGCGTGGGCCTAGCACAGCACATCCCCCACGCGCGCGAGACTCCTATAGGCCACCTTCCTTACTGCTGCTAGCCCGCGCCGCTAGGGCCTGGGCGCGGCCAGATTTAATTTTTTTTTTCGGTTTTTCGTTTTTTCTCGTTTTGGCTCAGTTTTTCGAGTCTTCCGCCCTAGAACACCATCTCTTGCACTTTGATTTTCTTCTTGATTTTCTTCATTATTTTCTCGGATTAAGCTTTTCACTCGAATTCAACTTTCAATTTCGTTTCAATTTTAAGTACTTCTCTTTGTTTAAGTTATGAATATGATTGCTTGGGTTGAGATGAATGTTTATGTTGAATTCGTTATGAGTAGTTAATTCGATTCGCTAGGGATAGGGGATGATGTTTTGAATTCGTTTGTGATTATCGTGCTTGATGATTATCAATTTATGTGAGTTGAATTCAAATAGGGTTTTCAATTATCATGCTTGAAAGTTGAGAATTGTTGAAGGGTGACATTTCAATCTTCAATTGATTTTCATTTGAATTTGAGTCATTCTTATGGGATTTTAGTTGATTAACACCGTCTAGTCTAATTTAATCGTCTTTTAGAACCGAAAGGGGAGGATTCGATCGATCTAGGCTCGTATAAAATAGGCTTGTTCGTAATTCTATTGTCTATGTGTTAAACGACTTGGTAAATTTTTCGTTCATGTTTATTCTCTTGTTACGAAAAGTTATTGAGGATGAGTCTCTGAACGAGTAGGTTTTTCACTCCCTAGCTGCTTTATCCTTGTTTGATCTTCGTTGTTGCTTTGATATTCCAGTTTGATTCGTTTGACTTCTCGTAGTTGATAGTTTAAAATCAAACCAATCTCTGAATTAGAGTGTTTAGGATTTGTTTTCCTTTTTATTATTGAATATATGCGCGAAGTAATCCGGCTAACTTTCTTCGAAATATCGACCCGGGGAACGAATCCTTCATTTTTGTACTCGGTAAAAATAACACAATGTGCGCTTATTCATCTTATTTTTCTTGTTTCTCTTCATTCTTGTGTTTTTCCTTGTTTTAGTGCTTCTCTTTGTTTGACTGTTTGCTTAGATGTTTTTATTTTTCCCGTGTTTCTTTTAGTGTTATTTTCTTTTGTCTATCATTTGTGCTCGTAACCCGTTGTTTGTTTGAGTGTATGTGTAACACCCCACTTTGATTTTAAAGATATTCCGGACTTTCCGAAAAATAAGATTAAATTTTTCAAAATTTATTTCAAACATATTCATCGCGTTACTCATTTCCAACATCAAACATCAATATAATTCCAACTCCCAAAACGGGTTTCTAAAAAGTTCATTAATCACCCAAACCAGGTTCCAACAATAATCATAGAATTAAGGAGCATCTCCTTAACATTATTTCAATCATAATATCCGAAAATCATAAATGCATAAATATCCCAAGTTCATAAATCATAAAATCAGTTCATGAGCGGAAGCATAACAAATAATCAAACTGGTCTCACAGACCGACCACCACTCGCTTTACTCGACCGTTGTGCCTGCTTCGCTTAACCTGAAGCGTTAATTTCGGGTGGGAGTGAGCACATATGGAAAACCTAGTGCTCATCACTATGCAGTAAACATTAATCAATATATAAAAGCAGTAATCATAAATAAGTAAGGTATGGTCGCAACATGTATACGAATCAATTAATTATCCCAATCTCCCATCAATAATATCAATAATCAAGACTCATGTGCACACCTACGCATAGACTACTGCGGTAAATTGTCGAATGGCCCTTGGCCTCACATCTACTTCCAAGCCAGTAGGAGTAAACCATCCCGTCGACCAAGGCCTCACCTTGTTCTTACAAACAAGGATCTCTAACCGAGGGACCTAAGCCCTGGTCTTACGGCTCTAAAAGGAGACTACCCTACGGGTACGTTCTATAGCTATGGGGATAACCATTCGACGGCCGGTACAACTCACATCGAAGTCTACATGGTTCACATGCATACATTGATCATACCATAAATATACATTTATAACATTTACAGCATAACGAATTTTAGAATAACAAACTCACCTCGTAACAGCAGGAAATAATACAGAAGCACGTGTAGACGGCGAGCTCAGCTCATCAAGCATCTACATTATGTCAAGATGCTACAATCAACATCTATCTTGACCTAAAAAGGAAAAACACAATCATACTTAGTCGAACTTGATTCGACTAAGTTGTTTGTGAAGTCCTGTGGACATTGGAACACTTAGACTCGGCTCTAAGACTCAACCAAACACACATAGGAGTTCACATAATCTCAATCAAAGATTTACCAAGTCAAACAAACAAAGAATAACATACGATTCGGTTTACAGTTTTTAACACAAAAACTATATTCGAAATAATAGTCGGTAATTCATATAATCAGGTTGGTCAGGTTACTGAGTGAGTTAAGCTCCGAAAGTTTAACCAAAAAACCACCTAACTGGACTTATTAAAACGGCCAAATTTCAGTCCTAAACTCAAAATACATGATTTTATAAAATTCGGACAAGTTTACAGCAAAAAAGAGCATAAATTCATATCCTGATCTAATGAACAAATTACAACTTAAAATTTTAACACCAGCAGTTGCACCATGTGAGTAATATCATATAAAAATTTTAGCTATTAACATGAAACAGATGATTTTTAAAAATTAAAACAAGTTTCTGAAGATTTTGAATCATTAACAAAATTGAACCAAAATGAATCCAAATAAATCCCATCTTTTTTACATTCTGAAGAACATCACAAAATAAGAAGCTCAAGAAAGAATCAGAATTTTACTGCAATAGCTCAAATTATCATAATTAAAACAATTTCGGCAGAATAATGAAATAAATTATTTACGTTAGAAAACTAAGTCCAAATATTATGAAAATGTTACACAACGTGTAAATATGCCAGAGACACAACATACTCGAATTTCAACAAATTTGGAGCACGACTCAATTTATTTTGCAATTAACACATTTCTGCCTAGAAATTGATTTAATTAATTAAAATAGCTACAAATAATATTTTAATCAGAAATTTTTACACAACATACATATTCATCAGAGGGCCTTACTCCTAATTTTCACATCAATCGGATTAGTAGACAATTTATAATAAATTTAATACAAAAACAGCCACCATACAAGTTCAACAATCCATGTATGACTCGATTTACGACGAAATCGTCTGAGGTATTCATCTTAAGACCAAGGATTCTATAAGGTTCCAATCCACAACACTTAACACGTTTATATCGAGGTCTCGTTCGATTTCACACAAATCGGCACAAGATCACAAAACATAATCACTATTCATATATATTCATACATGAAATAATAAAAGGCAATAATACGACACGTATGATTTAACGAGACGGGATTCGAGCCTTGTACCATTCTTGGGAAATGATACATTGAGACGGGTCGAACGAGGATGACGGCTATCACGTGGTGGCTAGCGGCAGGGAAACGAGGCGGCGACGACTTGACAGGGAGGCTTCGTCTCGCGGAAGAGCAGGTGGCGGGGAGGGCTCATCGCTGCTGCTAGGTTACGGAGAAGGGTCGCTGCAGAGGAGAAAGTCGTCTTCGGAGAAGAAAAGTTCGTCAGTCATGCTTCGCGTGAATAGGGCTCGCGGACAGGACCCGCGGAAAAGCTTCGCGAGGTTGCAGTTCGGTCGCGAAGGGAGGAGGGCCGTCGGAGGTTGGGCCTGCGCGCGGAGGGGCTGCGGCTTGCCGGGAGTTCGTTGGTGTCTCGTCAGTGGGGAGGTACGCTCGCGACGGTTGATGGAGATGCTGATGGGGAACGCCGAAAAAAATCTGATTTCTGAAAGAGATGAAGAAAACTTGAAACGGCTCAGCAGATAACATGTCTGCGCGATGGAGAGGGAAGAAGACGACAATGACGACCTGATTTTTGTGAGGGCGATGAGATTACATCGTTTGCGAGAGATTGAGTGAGAGTGAGATTTTCTCTCTTTCTCTGACATGCTGCGTTATCAAACGTGAGGAAAAGGGATAGGGAATGTTGCGGCGTGTTTCTTGCGTGAGGGAAAAAGGAGAGCAGATTTGTTCTTTCTCTGTTCTGCGGGAGACAAAAAAAAACGAGAGAGGGCTGTGAGTCGATTTCTGATCGAGAGAGCGAGAGGAGGGAAAATATATGGGCTACGTTTTATTCTCTTATCCTTCAAGACACACACACACACACGCACATGGGTAGGGCGGACCGGGTCGGACGGTTTATGGGTCGGGCGCGCGGGTCATCAGGCGGAAGGTTTGGTTCATCTCTCGGGCTCGACTTGGCCCATAAAAATGGCTCGGTTCGATCACACGATATTTAAATTAACACCAGATAATATATATATATCTAATACACACATTATTTATTTAAATAATAATAATATGCAATTAGACAAATAATGACATTTAGACATTCATTTAATAATAATAATAATAATAATAATAATAATAATAATAATAATAATAATAATAATTCGTAAATAATGGGTTCATGAATCGCCCGGTTTCGACTACCGGTTTATCGGGCTCAATTTCATAAAATCCGACATATATAATACTCGGAAAAATAAAATAAAATAACAATATTAGTAATGCCGAAATATTCGAAAAAAATTCATTATTCAAACGAATTATATTCGGTTCACGCGATTAATTCGAAATCGCCGAACGACGAACTTTTTTCAACAAAACGATTGAGTATTCCAACCCTTAAGTCAACATCGCGACTAATAAAATACATTTAACCTTATAAATAATATTCGATAAATAGAATATTCTTTAGAAATTCTATAAATCGAATGGGGCGCTACAATCTATCCTCCTTAAAATATTTCCGTCCTCGGAAATGCGAAAGAACACACATCGAAAAGAAAACGATAGACTCGTACAGGAATTTCCAATGACGAGGTCTAGGCATCACCCTCCGGAACTCAATTCCATTCCCATGAGTCTTATCGCCATAAAACGGCATACACTCACCTACAGGAACCAATCCGACTCGCCCTATGCTCATATGTTTACCTTCTTGCTTGGGAGGTGTGATCAGTCCTGCCGGAGCTCAGGCGTACATCCTCTTGCAAGGGACCTAGTTCGGTCTGGCGTATACTCATGAGTATCAATGACTTGCTTCGTACCAAACAACACACCAGACCTCAACAAGCGGTTCGGTGTATTGCCAGCGTACTCCGACTACCTCACCATCAAGGTGGACACGTGATGCCATGTTTCAGTCTCGTGTCCAAGTCCCACTGATAACTTGCTCATGACTTCGTCACAGACCGTGCGTCTCCATCCGAGACCACAACACGGTACCACATACGTACAGCACGACACCATCATGCTCATAATATATACGACCCAAGATGCTCATACTCTCAAGGTATCGACTCCATGAGTCGAACGCAACCCTTATGCACAAAAATAAAGCTTGACCAATAGCAACACGACATTCCCAATTTGCCAACTTGAGAAACTCTCAAGTAAGGCATAGGGACTCATTGACTACACTCCTTAATTAGAAATCATCGATTAAGTATTTACACACATTTCAGTGGGACTTGGAGTTCTCGATTCAAGGTTCACAAGAAAAAGGTTTTAAATAAGCTAATCAAATGGTCCAGCATGAAACGGTTCGAACAGTTCGGGAAAAACATTGATGGTTGGCCGTGTACTCTGGCCTGGGGAGTTCGTGCATTCGGTGATGGCGGCTGCAGTTCGCATGCGAGTCAACGGTCGGCCGTGCACAAGCCTCACGTCTCTCAGCACGGTCGTGCGTGCTCGGCCACTACTTCGCGTGGCTACACCCAGCCAGGGCCAGCGTTCGGTTCAAGGTTCCAAGTCCACCATTTTACCAAAACATCAAAACACCATACTCAACGGATCTACGATTTTGATAGACGAGATTTCTCATAGAGACACTAATACAGTTCTCCAGAATAGGCCGGGACGCCATTGGCAATCATATAATGACTAGACAATACATAGAATTCGCCAGTGTGTGGCTTAGTCTGAAAGACACTACCACAACGGAAGGAATGATATATGACAAGTGGAATCAAATACTTGTCTTTACCGATACAAAAGTTGCAACACTTGAACCCAAAAACCAGAACAAATGTTCGCAAGGGATTGCAAAATTCCCAAGATAACAAAAGATATCTCCCAAAACTCCGAAAAGAGTAAAAGGAACGAGATTTTCTAAAGATTATGCTTGACAAAAATTGCACACAAGGACGATTCAGTACTTCACGACGTGCTTGTTCCGGACTCGACTATCCTCCTTAAAAGATTCTGCATAATCCTTTAAGGTGGAAAAACATACTTCTTGATATTGTCGTCGACTTCGTTTGATGAAAATGAATCTTCTTGACTCCCTTCATGGTGATGCACTAATTCACGGCCTGGATTTGAATGGTCGCAGGATTTCTGTCACGTCAAGTCATTCTGAGAGGTGCGTTTGAGTCCTTTGTATCGATCTGGTAGGTGTTGGCTTCTAAGCTCGTCCGTCTGTAGTTACATTTGCCTCGATCACAGTTGAATATGTACCATTCATCTTCTTCGTAGTTGAGCCTTCTTTCAAGAGTTGCGTTGGGATCCGCGTTCTAAGATATTCGCATTGTCTAAGAGGTATCAGGAAACAAGATTCCAAAATTTACTAGAATAAATAAGGATCAACAGAAGATGAAATTTCGATTCTTATCTCAAAGAAGGGAAAATCTCGCGAAATTTCCAAAGTACAAAATTTAATAACCAAGAGGAGTCTCGAAAAACAATTCAACTTGAATACCACACGAAAGGGAATAATCGAGGATAAGCGAAAAAGACTTGGGCGGCCAAGGCGCGGATGGTAAGTCAAAGGGCTACAACAGGTCAAATTTACACATTAAACCTGCTGTCAATTTTAGAAAAACAAATTGCACGACGTTCGTACATGGGGCGTATCTCTTTGTACATAGAAGATATTTAGATGAATCTTGCGCCATTAGGAACCTAGGAGATAAAACTACAACTCGCATGAAGACGTCGAGATTTTCAGGTTACCAAAAATGGGCCAAAAACAGCAGTAAACGACAGACTCAACTTCTGCGATTAAAACGAAAAACTGACTGTGCCAAGATTGAATTGTTGACACGATTCTCAAAATAAAAATGTTAAAAACTCAATTCATATACCTCATGAAACGCACAGGTTGGTATACAAATTTATAATGAAGAATTCGAAAAGAAACATCGGTATTTCGGGGCTCAAAGACAACAATGAAACCAGATCACCAACAAGATCGAGCAACAGAAAACTGGACGCACAATTGCCAAACCTTGGCCAAAATTCTTAAAATGAGAATGGTAACATCATGCTTCTCGTTCGAGATGGAACATAAGAGTTTGAACTTTAATTCATTAGAATAGTTCAAAAATATTTAACCGAATTCCGAACGTAAAAAACGGCGATGAACAACCACCACTACAAGGGTCACGAATAAGGTTTCACTCTTCACACTCGACGAATCTTAATCAACACGAGGTAAGAGTGTCGGATAACAAGACAAGGCTCCGACTAACATGATTTAATCACAGCAACTCGAGGCTCGATTTTGTTAAATCGAGAGAGTCTGAATATCCACAAAAAATTCAAGAAAATAACCAATGCGAGCATACGAATCAGTGTATACCCGACTAACCAACGGATTTTCAATTTCAACCAATGAAAAACAAACGAATTAAAACTGGGGGAAATTTAATCATCATATCATTCTCCACGGATCCATAAGCAAAAGGAATTGGTTCATCCACACGAGCCTGACACCTAGACTCCACTCCCGGTCCTCATTGACTGGGTCCTAACACGAGTCCAATGGTCTTATTGACGACGATCATAGACTCCCTAATAATCCACACATGGGATCCCTTCGGTTGTCTGTTCCCTGCACTCAAGCCCTCTCCTTTCGAGATGGCATTGCGAATGGTCCTCACTTGAAGACACTGAATTTTTACATCGAGAAGACTGCTACAACAGAATTCAGCTCGATAACATCATATCGAATTTCTAATAAACAAAATCTCAAGTCAGATCTTAACTCTATACCGCTAGAGTTCAAGTCTGTATATACGGAGGTCTTCAACTCTTCTAGAGTTCACCATCAAATACTAGATTTCAAGAATGTAGAAGTAAGAGAATAAATTCCTACGCCCCAAATATTAATAAGTCATATAATATTATCTCATAAATCAGGCAACTCATAATCAACTCAAAATTACTTATGAAACTCATACCTGAGTTGGCGAGGCACGACGGAAGTGGTCATATACTACATCATATTATGCAAGTATTTCACAGAGTTCACATAATTCACGTATACCAGTCTACAGAAACGCAGATTGGCTCTGATACCAAACTGTGACGCCCCACTTTGATTTTAAAGATATTCGGGACTTTCTGAAAAATCAAATTAAATTTTTCAAAATTTATTTCAAACATATTAATGGCGTTACTCATTTTCAACATCAAACATCAATATAATTCCAACTCCCAAAACGGGTTTCCAAAAAAATTCATTAATCACCCAAACCGGGTTCCAACAATAATCATAGAATCTAAGGAGCATCTTCTTAACATTATTTCAATTATAATATCCGAAAATCATAAATGTAAATATCCCAAGTTCATAAATCATAAAATCAGTTCATGACGGAAAGCATATTAAATAATAAAACTGGTCTCACAGACCGACCACCACTCGCTTTACTCGACCGTCGTGCCTGCCTCGCTTAACTTGAAACGTTAATTTCAGGTGGGAGTGAGCACATATGGAAAACGTAGTGCTCACCACTATGCAGCAAACATTAATCAAT